TGAGGGGCTATGACATGCTTTGGAATGTGATCCTGATTGCAACCTGGACTCCTGGGCCCAACCTCCTCAGCTTTGAAAGAAGAGAGATTTGAAAAAAAAAATCTCAAACTGTGTGGTTGCAGGTGATGGAGGGGTCCTGATGGAAGGGGCTGCACGTGTCCAAGAGCGGGCTCTCACCAGACAACTTCAAACAGTATGGAGTTGCCCCAAGGTCTGCGAAGTCTCTGAGGACAAGGTATGCAGTCGGGGCTCACCTGCTTGATAAATGGACCAAGTGAGTGAGAGGAGAGCCGCCTTGACTTCTGTGCACTAGGCACTGTGGGCACAGCAGCCTGCACGTCAGGTGTCCACATCTCGTGGTCCAGAGAGATTCAGTGAAGGTTCCAAGGACCCTCAGAAAGGAGACAGAAAAGATCAAGAACCACTGGGAACTGGGTGATCGGCAAGGTCCCTTCAGCACTGACATTCCAGGGTTTTCAGCACCCCTGGCTGCACTGCAAAAAACCAAAGTGGCCTGGCAAGGTCCAGCTCCCAGAAGAAAACGCAGGCCCGTACTCAGGCCAAAGAGATCATGAACCTGTATCAGGACCTTCTTTGAACTTAGAAAAGCAAAGAATAAGTTCAGCAGGACTTCGATGAACCTAGTGGACTAAATTCTTAAATTCCCATCGAGTCCTCTAAATTCTCTTTGAGTCCTCTTTTAGCTCAGGTTGATGACCATTAACTGAGGACCCACCCCATCTCAGACCCTGGGGATGTGAGATTGCTGATGAAGTGTGGCCTTCCTTGAATCCACAGTCTGCAGGGGAAGATGGCCCTGCATGGAAGAGTGTAGGATGATGTGACAGGCACGGTGGTGGCAGTCACTCCAGGTACCATGGAAAACACCTCATCCAGGCTGGGTGCTGAGGAGGGCTTCCTGGAGGAGGTGAAACTAGATTTGAGGCTTAAAAAGATTTTTGTATCATTGTAATCAATGTGGACTCACTGTTGTACACCTTTCCTTTTCTCTCAATTATATTTCACATGTGCATCTCCACACCCCGATGTAACCTAGATATTTACAGTCAGTGGCTGACACGTCATCCTTCAAGGGGCCAGAGCTGGCTTGAGCAGCCCCAGTTACTGAATGCAGGCCGGTTTCCGGTCTTCCATCCTGTGAGCAGCACCACGACCATGGTACCCCAGCTCCCCTGGGGAATTTGCTTCTGAGAGGCCGCCTGGGCAGGTGGGGGGATCTGCAGGCAGAGATGGAGGTGGGGACAGCTCTGCATCTTCTCTAGAGAAAGCTCTAGAGGGCTCTACCAGAAACTGCACCCACTGGTAGCCCCCACCAGGGACATCAGGCATCGGGCCCCTCCTGACATCGCTAGGCTGTGTGTGGCCTCCCCTCTCCCTAATTCGGCCCTCCCCAGCCACTTGAGCCAGTATCCTGCTGATGTGGCCCCTGTGCGAACCATTGGTGATGCTGCCAGCTGGACACTCTGGGTGCAGCATAGGGGTGCCACGTGGACTGCCTTTCAGTAGCATGAAAATTCCCTAAGGGTAGGGACTTGCCTGGCCAGGTTTGTTATTTAGCTTTGAATTCCTCACAAGGCCTAGGCTGGTGCCGGTTGTGCAGAAAGCTGTCAGTCACAGTCTCAGAGGCTCAGGACACTGAAAGGGGTCTGACAGGAAAGAATCTCAGAATGAGGTGTCATGCAGCAGGCAGTATATTTGAGACATGTAGGGGACTTCCTGTTGCCTCTGAAATCCTGCTCTGTGAGCACCTACCCACTCCTTGAGGTGAGCGGTCTCATACACAAAAGCGTTCCTGGGCTGAGGAATAGTTAACATGCCGGCCCAGCCTCAGTCTGCCCCAGCCTGTGAGTCACAGGCCAACCTGAGGCAGCCACACCAGGTCCACTGCATCCTCACCCCTGGGGTCACAGAGGCAAAGGGCACCGGAAGAATAAACTAGGAATTAAATCTGTTACAAGGAAGGGGAAAGGGGAGGAAGTTCAGGAGTAGAAATGACATTTCTAAAGTACACCTGGTATTTTTTGTACTCAAAATTAATTTTTTAATTAATTTAGGGAAAGAACATGGTTTGGGAGGGCTATTCAGAAGAAAAAGAGGGCAACTGGATTATAAGCTAAGGACTGTTGGGAAGGAGAGAGGCTCGAAGAGGACCTGGAGTATTTTTGATTCTGTGCAAAATGGAATTTTGGAAAGCAGAGAAGCATAGAAATCAGCTACGATGCAGGGAACCAAATGCTAATTGCATCCAACCTGGAGCATTAGAGACATAGAACCAGAGCTGAAAGGACCTTGGAGGTCACGACATTCAGTGGTGTTGGAACTGAGACCCAGAAAAGCTGCACAGCTTACTCAAGACGCCACATCTGTGTGCGGAGAGGCAGAGCCTGACACCCTAGCCAAGTCTGGCGTTGGCCTTCATGGAGGGTGACACACAGAAGTTCGGCTTCAACCAACTTGAAAGAGTAAGAGGCCTAAGGACCACAGAGGCCAATGTCCTGGTGAGAGGGCCAGGGAGGGGACTACAGCAAACAGCCAATTGCCACCAAGGTCCCTGGGCTGGGGGACAGGCTGGGAAGCAGGACATCATCCAGGGCACGCCTGAGCTGGGCTTGCAGAGCTGCCCCCTTTCAGCGGCTCCAGCTCTGCCTGCCCTCCAGCACCTGACTGCCAGGCCCCTGCCCCTTCTCCCCTTCCTGGAAGACCAAAGGAACCGCAGGCTGCAGGTTTTGTCACTCCCCTTAGAAGAGCAGGCTTCAGGCTCTGCAGATGGTGTAAAGCCCCAATTACGCATGCCACATGCACACCGTGTGCCTCGCAGGGCACGTGTGCACGGCATATAGACATCACAACAAAACATGCCATCAACCCCTCGAGACTCACGAGCCCGCAGGTAAGTGCGGGACGCCCACTCGTGTGCCTGTACGTGCCAGCACAGTACGGCCTTTGTGCTGAGCTGCCTGGTGCGGGGTCTGGGCTCCCGGCCCCGGCTGGTTACCATGGCGGCCTTTAGTGGGCCTGAGTGTGTGGGTGTGGAGGCAGCTCACCGTTCTTACCTGGCAGGCCCGGTCATGGCTCCCTGCCTGGGGGAGAACTTCCCTTTGCAAAGTTAGATAACACTGGGCTCTCTGTCAGGGGACTGGCGCGGTGGCTCCAC